CATCAGTGGTGCAGCTGGAGTGTGGTGGATTCCCATGGGAGATGCCAACTGGGCAGGATGTGGACACTGGAAAGGAGGGAACCAGAGGATCCTGCTGGATGCCAACGCGGCTCCGGGTCCTTTCCCAAACCTCCACGGCTTCTCAAGGAGGTGGGATGATGCCAAGGGGGAATTTTGGGGTGGGAAGACTCTGTGCCAGGGGTCAGAGATGGAACTGCCTTTGCCATGGGTGTGAAGCCACCTCAGAGCTTCCCAAGGAGGTGGGATGATGCCAGGGAGGAATTTTGGGGTGGGAAGACCCTGTACCAGGGCCTGGAGAGAGAACTGGCTTTGCCACGACTCCATCACTTCCCAAGGAGGTGGGATGATGCCAGGGGGGAATTTTGGGGTGGGAACACCCTGTGCCAGGGGCCAGAGATGGAACTGCCTTTGCCATGGTGGTGAAGCCGCCTCAGAGTTTCCCAAGGAGGTGGGATGATGCCAGGGAGGAATTTTGGGGTGGGAAGACCCTGTGCCAGGGGCTAGAGATGGAACTGTCTTTGCCATGACTCCGGAACTGGATCCATCGCTTCCCAAGGAGGTGGGATGATGCCAAGGGGGAATTTTGGGGTGGGAAGACCCTGTACCAGGGCCTGGAGAGAGAACTGCCTTTGCCATGGTCGTGAAGCCACCTCAGAGTTTCCCAAGGAGGTGGGATGATGCCAGGGAGGAATTTTGGGGTGGGAAGACCCTGTGCCAGGGGCTAGAGGAGAAACCACCTTTGCCACGACTCCAGAGCTGGTTCCATCACTTCCCAAGGAGGTGGGATGATGCCAGGGGGGAATTTTGGACCAGGAACACCCTGTGCCAGGGGCCAGAGATGGAACTGTCTTTGCCATGACTCCATCACTCCCCAAGGAGGTGGGATGATGCCAAGGGGGAATTTTCGACCAGGAACACCCTGTACCAGGGGCTAGAGGAGAAACCACCTTTGCCACGACTCCGGAGCTGGATCCATCGCTTCCCAAGGAGGTGGGATCTCCCACCCTGGGCCATCCCTCCCTCCCCATCCCCTCTCACCGGTCCTGGCACTCCTCCTTCTGGTGCCTCTCGAGCAGGGAGCGGGGGAACTGCTGGGCGCAGAAGCCGCACTCGGAGGGCAGCTCGCTGACCGCCTTCTCCACGGCCAGGTTGCGGCAGCACAGGCTCTTGCTGATCTCGCAGCGGCAGTTGGGGCACGTCGCCTGCTCCTCCTTCAGCCGCGCGTCCGCCAGCAGGTGGATGAAGCAGCCGGCGCACATCAGGTGCCCGTTGGTGCACTGGGAACACACACGGGGGAGAAGAGACGGGTTAGAGGGTCCCACCGCCGGGAATCGGGAATCGGGAAGAAGAGCCCGGTCAGGGGGTCCCATCACCAGGAATTGGGGCTCTCCATGGATTTTGGGTGTCAGGGATCAGTTTCTGGGGCTCTCCATGGATTTTGGGGGCTCTCCATGGATTTGGGGGTGTCTGGGATCACTTTTGGGGGCTCTCCATGGATTTGGGGTGTCTGCGATGAGTCTCTGGGGCTCTCCATGGATTTGGGGTGTCAGGGATCAGTTTTGGGGCTCTCCATGGATTTTGGAGTGTCAGGGATCAGTTTCTGGGGCTCTCCATGGATTTTGGGGCTCTCCATGGATTTGGGGGTGTCTGGGATCAGTTTCTGGGGCTCTCCATGGATTTTGGGGCTCTCCATGGATTTAGGGGTGTCTGGGTTCATTTTTGGGGCTCTCCATAGATTTGGGGTGTCTGGGATCATTTTTGGGGCTCTCCATGGATTTTAGGGTGTCAGGGATCAGTTTTTGGGGCTCTCCATGGATTTTGGGGTTCTCCATGGATTTTGGGGCTCACCATGGATTTGGGGTGTCAGGGATCAGTTTTGGGGCTCTCCATGGATTTGGGGGTGTCAGGGATCATTTTTAGGGCTCTCCATGGATTTGGGGGTGTCAGGGATCATTTTTGGGGATCTCCATGGCTTTTGGGGCTCTTCATGGATTTGGGGTGTCAGGGATCAGTTTCTGGGGCTCTCCATGAATTTCGGGGTGTCAGGGATCAGTTTCTGGGGCTCTCCATGGATTTGGGGTGTCTGGGTTCATTTTTGGGGCTCTCCATGGATTTGGGGTGTCTGGGACCATTTTTGGGGCTCTCCATGGATCTGGGGTGTCAGGGATCATTTTTGGGGATCTCCATGGATTTTGGGGCTCTCCATGGATTTTGGGGTGTCTGGGATCAGTTTCTGGGGCCCTCCATGGATTTGGGGGTGTCTGGGATCATTTTTGGGGCTCTCCATGGATTTTGGGGTGTCTGGGATCATTTTTGGGGCTCTCCATGGATTTGGGGTGTCAGGGATCAGTTTCTGGGGCTCTCCATGGATTTTGAGGCTCTCCATGGATTTGGGAGGTCAGGGATCATTTTTGGGGCTCTCCATGGATTTGGGGTGTCAGGGA